TGTCAATTGGAAAATATCAGCTATATTTTCATTTCTGATATCTTCTGTCAATTGGAAAATATCAGCTATATTTTCATTTCTGATATATATACCAACACAGAGAGACACACAAACACATAACCTAAGCATACTGAGTTTCTCTGAATCTATTATTGATATTAGTTTTCTATTCCAAATTCATGGAAGCCTAGCCCTAACCCTAGGTGGATTTTCATCCCAATAGGATTTTCTCATTTATTTATCCAAGAAATGAAAATGTTAAGAGCCTCTTAACCATAGTGAGCCTCCCTGAATGCATTGGTGATATTTGTTTTCCTCTCTGAATTCATAGACACCTAACCTTAAGGAGAGATGTATTTGTATGAGCTCTCCTAAGCAGTGTGTGCCACTATGAATTTTTTTGTGAAGTTCATTTCCTGTTCCAAATTCATGGAAGCCACACATGTACACATGTGTTTATAGAACATACAGAATTTCCATATACTAATGAGCTGTTCAAATCTTCAGAACAGATGGGGTGAAATGAAAAGCCAGTATCTCTCCTGTTATTTTCAATAATGAGTGAACATTATGGAATTTTATTTGGATTTTTCTCTTCTGTTTGTGATTTTGAAACAGCTAATTAACTTTACTCATGGCAGTACAAATATTTGCAGTGCATCATATTTTTTACAAATGAGCTGTTTCTTTCAGTTCTTCTGATACTGCAAATCAAATCACTGGATTTTTTGTTTACAAATTCTTCTTGTCTATCACATTTCAATCCAAATCTTGGGATAAATACTTAATGCCCTAATTTGTAGAGAATTTTCTGTTTTGTTATTCACAAAATAATTGTCAGATAAGTGTCAGATAAAAGTGAAACAGCTTATTCTTCAATTTTATGCATATGCTTTTGAAGATAATTATGCTAAATCCATGTCAGCATGTTATACAACATGCAACGTTTGTTAGCTTTTTCCTATTTGCCAAGTAGTAATGAGCTGATAAGGAATCCTGCCTGCAGTTTTTATTTAAAAACAAACATATAACTGATTTGGGGGATTATGTTGTAGCAGGACAAACCTGCTAATTTCTATGATATAATGCAAAAGCCATCAGAAACAGTAAAATGAAACTGTTAGAAATCTGGGTGTGGCAGTACTGCACCCTAGTGGTAAAATATATAAAAAATGAAAAAAGCAAAATGTGAGTATTCTACAGTAATAATAATCTAGGGCAGGGGTCAGCAACCTTAAACACTCAAAGAGCCATTTGGACCCATTTCCCACAGAAAACACCGGGAGCCACAAAACCTTTTTGACATCTAAAGTGAAGATAACACTGCAGATATCTTTTTTACCTTTATGCTATGTATTTAAAAACTTATTGGCATACTGGGGGTTGAAAAGCTCAATAAATTGTGTGCCGGTGGGTGTTGCTCATTGGCGGTTGTGAAGCATATTTTGAACACCAGGGAGCCGCAGCAGAGGGATGAAGGAGCCACATGTGGCTCCAGAGCTGTGGGTTGCTGACCCCTGATCTAGGGCAGTGATGGCTAACTTTTTCTGGACCAAGTGACCAAAGTGCGCGCGTATACACCCAAACCCCCAAATGCAATGTGCGCACAGCCCCCACACATGCACCCCACCATGCATGCACGTGTGGCCCCCGCCTCCCACATGCATCTGCACCCCACTCCACCCCCTGCGCATGCACACGCGCACCTCCACATGTGGCCCCTGCATGTGTTCGTGGCACCCCGCACATGCCCTGCCAGTGGTGGATTGTCCCCGGTTCGGACTGGTTCTATAGAACCGGTAGTAAAACCGGTGGGAGGCTCCGCCCACTGACCCTGATGTCATCAGAAGTGATCTGCGCATGCGCAGAAGCAAGGCGTGAGCGTGAGCGAAGTGAGCGCGTGCGATCCCGTTGCAAACTGGTAGTAAAGGTAAGTAGAACCCACCCCTGCGCCCCACCCCCCATGCATGTGTGGCAGAGACTTGAAGATGGCCGATATGTGCAAAAGAGCTGAACTGGAGCGATGGCTTGCATGCCATCAGAGAGGTCACTGCTTGCCACCTCTGGCATGTGTGCCATAGGGTTGCCATCACAGATCTAGGGCCATGTTTCTTAAACATTTTCCCTTAGGACTTTTCTCACATTTATAAACAATGGACAACCCCCAAAGAAGTTTTTATGGGTTATATGTATTATTTACTATATTAAAAATAAAAAATCGATACACTTAGTGCTGCTAGCATTTCTCACAATTGCTTGATGGGATTTTAATATTGTATTATTTTTCAATGTAAGCAGGCAAATAATTTTTGTTTGTGACTCTTGGTAGTTTATAAGATTAAAAACATATACACTCTCCCACAGTGGTGCCCAAAGAATAACTATAAACTCTGCATAGTAGAAGATATCATCCTGCCTGGCCTCCTACACTTGGAGGGATCTGGGGAGGGGTTAGCAGCGGGGGCGGCAGGAGCCATCTTCCCACCGGATAGATGTTGCCACTAAGAAATCCAACAAGATAGTTTGACAGAAGAGATCCAGGGCATGACTTCTCTCCTAGAATTTGGTGAGGTAGGCAAAAACTGCCTAGAAGAAAGGCAATCCTGCAAATAGGAAGGAATAACATGAAAACTACAGTACAATCTACAACATGCTTTTCAGAAAGAAAGAAAAAAAAACCCTGAAAACATAACTATATCCCCCAAATCCATCTATTTTCTGGCCTTCAAGAATGTTATAAGAATACACTTGGACATCTAGTGTCCCTAACTGTACGTATTCTGTGTCTCCAAATTTCATATACTTTGGAATTGGTCACTCTTGCTGAGAGACTTCTATAAACGTAATACAAGTAGTCCTCAACTTTTTTTTTTTTTTTTTTGATTTATATGCCGCCCTTCTCGGAGACTCAGGGCGGGCTTACAATGCGTTAAGCAATAGCCTCATTCTTTTGTATATTTTATACAAAGTCAGCTTATTGCCCCCACAAACTGGGTCCTTATTTCACCTACCTTAGAAAGGATGGAAGGCTGAGTCAACCTTGAGCCTTGGAGAGATTCGAACCAGCAGAAATTGCAGGCAGCTGTGTTAATGACAGGGTGCACTAAACCACTGTACTATCAAGGCTCTTATGACCACAATGACCCAAAATTTTTTGTTAAGTGAGACAGTTTTCTCCATTTTATGACTTTTCTTGCTACAGTTGTTAAGTGAATCACTGCACTTGATAAGTTAGTAACATAGTTGTTACGTGAATCTGGCTTCCCCATTGATTTTGTTGTCAAAAGGTTGACCTTGGGACACAGTAATGGTCATAAGCATGAACCAGTTGCCAAGCATCTGATTTTGATCACATGATCATGGGGATGCCTCAAAGGTTGTGTGAAAAATAGTCACTTTTTTCAGTGCAGTTGTAACTTTGAATGGTCACTAAATGAACCCTTGTAAGTCGAGGACTATCTGTAATAGCCTATTTACCAGTCAGAGAAGTCAGTTTCCTTCCATAAAGCAGATTAAAGGATTAACAGAGGGCTCAATTTGAACTAGATCTTAATTTTTAGCTACAACTGCATTCCAACTTTGTCTCTGTTTACTGTACATGTGAACTTGCCTGGATATTGAGATCATCTCAGGGGTGAAATCCAGCAGGTTCTGACAGGTTCTGGAGAAATTTCGAGTAGTTCAGAGAACTGGTAGCAGAAATTTTGAATAGTTAACCACTGGCTTGCCCCAGAGTGGGGTGGGAATGGAGATTTTGCAATATCCTTCCCCCAGAAGTGGGGAGGGAATGGGGATTTTGCAGTAGCCTTCCGAGGAGTGGGGAGGGAATGGGGATTTTGCAATATCCTTCCCCAGGAGTGGGGTGGGAATGGAGATTTTGCAATATCCTTCCCCAGGAGTGGGGAGGGAATGGGGATTTTGCAGTAGCCTTCCCCTGCCATGCCCACAGAACCGGTATTTTAAAAAATTGGATTTCACCACTGGATCATCTCCACTGGATCACTTTAAAAAGAATTTGAAGCAGAAAATAGGAATAAATCGACAACTCTTGCAATGAAGCTGTAAACACAGTACAGCCTTTCAAGAATCTGCATTGAGAAGAGTTATGAACATATTTATAAATGATCTGGAATTTTCAATTTGAGATGGGTTGTTTGCACCTTATTTAGGGAATTTAAAAATAGGGATTAGAAAAGAATTCCAAATGATCTGCTTAAGAGTGGAAAATGTGCAATACAATTAAAATGTAGCTCTTGTTATTAAAGCAGATGTAAAGACTGCATTGTGGAAAGGCAACTAAAGTTCACTTAAACTGCTGGATCAGAGCAAAAAGAGGGCTTGAGAACTGCATGGATTCTTGTAAAAATGTCAGTTTGTCACAACTATGGGGAAAAAAAATGATCTCCTCACTAGGAAACCATTAGAAACTCTTCCCCAGATTCAGATGTGAATGCATGACATGTCGGTATTTAGATCGGGGGAGGGGGGGTGGGAAAGGAGGTAGAAGTGTTAGTAATCTGCTTTGAGATCCCCAAGAATATAACACATAACAAATTAAAATTTATTTTAAAAGATGCTTAGATCCTATTTCTAATGCAGAGTGCCTTACAGGATTAAATAAACCGCGATCCGGGGGAAAAAAACTCTTTATGTCACAATAAACAAACTTTTATGATATCTCCAGGTTCTGGGGGGGATGTTTGCAACGTATTAACAGAACCCGCCTGGCAAATCTTAAAAAACATGCGCTACTCTAAACAGAGGAACGTCTGCCGAAGACGAAGCAACCATATTCCTGCAGCAAGCCCCTACGTTTAGAAAGGCCCGCCTTCCAAGGTTTGCAGATCACTAAACATTCCCTCTTATCGAAATACCCCTCCCAATGAGCCACGCGCTTGCCGGGAGTTTTTGGAGTCGCGCGAGAGACCACGAGACTTCCATCCCGGGCGGAGGAAGTAAAAATCCATTTTGCGCAGGCGCGAGTTCATTTCTTTGAGCGGCGAGGCGCGATGGTGGGTAAGGCGTTGATTTCTTGCGGGAATCCAATGCAATCCTTCGCGGAGTTTTTTTTCTAAGAGGATGCGGGGCCGAAGTAAGGACGGCGGGTGGATGGGGAGGGAAGCGAGAGAGAAGATGAATCGGTTGACAGGCTCCGTCTGCCGTTTCGTTATTTTTAAGGTTAGAAGACTGGCTTCTAGGAGCTGGAAAACTCGTGCGGGCGGGCGTTTTCTGATGGTGAATGCGGCGGTCAGGGTATCTAGATTGCAAAGATCCCGACGATCATTAGACAGCAGCAGTCAGAGATGGAATGCTCTTTGCTGCTGATGCTGCATGATCGCCCTGCGAAATGGAGGGCAGACCTCTGCTTTAGTAAAACGGAAACTTAATTGTTTTTTTAACTTGGGGGGGGAGGGGGAATCCACTGATTATGTTTTTATTCTGTAACTATGGACCTTCCTTTAATTGAGATCAGTATTTTGGGAAAGTTACCATTCCACAAAGATTAAAGAACATGGTGGGGGTTTTTTTAAGAAAAAAAAAAAGAGGATTACACAGAACAATAGGTGACCAGAAATAGTTTTATCATTTGTACATTTTTGTGGATTCTTCAGTTCAACTCTATCCCCACCCCTTGTGTGATAAGACTGCAATTCCATAATTTTTATGTACCTGGAGGGAATTAATTTGGAAAAGCTTTGTTAAGAGGTTATGTGCTCCCCAGCATGTCTTGGGTGTCTGTTCACGAGTATGAGTAATAATATAATTTACCCCACATGGTGTGGGATGATTGGTACAGGTGGATTGATAACCGAATAAAGAATAGATAAAAGTTAATACAAATTTTAAGATGCATATAGGAATTTGGAATGATGAAATGTAAAGGAAGAATCAATCCAACTTGTGTAGAAAAATAACACTGTCTGACTGATTGTTTTGTATTATATTATAATAAATTTCAATAAAAAATTAAAAAATAATATAATTTATTTCCTAACATAGCATATCATACAGCATGGAAGCATCTCAAGTCTCTGTGGATTGGAGGACATAACTCTCCATCATCTTGCATGCATAAGGTATGTTTAAAATTCACTAGGGGTCAGTATTAGGATTTGTTTGCTGCTCAAAAGACAAGATTTGGGTTGGTTTAGTAACTTTCATCAAAGTTATAAAGAACTGAGCTACTGATGATTCAGAGTTATCCCTGTCTGAAAAGAGAATGTCATTCTTTTTGTGGAATTGTGGATTCTGAAGCTCAGTCCTGGAAAATTTAAAAGCAAATGATGTAAAAATAAAGCTGCCTCTGATAATATGTGTAACTGATCCCCAGGTTTGCAAGGATGCAGGTATTGGTCATGGGAGTCAACCCAGGCAGGAATACAGATGTCACATAACTTCATTGTAAGCTCTAAACCCAAGAAAATCCCTTTTTGGAGAAAAGAGTGTTAGTGATGCATCTCTTCTGATCTACATTCCAAGGTATGTGTGTGCTTGGATGCACTTGAGGGTTGCAGTTATGAAAGTCAGATACTGTTAAAGCAGAGAATTGCCATTTTCAAATATTTGAAAAATGTGAGTGCTGCTCCATGTTTCTGGGGAAAAAAGCCAAATGGCCAACTGCTCCAAACAGATTTTCTTTTTTGTTCTGACATGTAGAAATCTAGTCTGAGCTCAGTGGTCAAGAGAACTCTTGAACTTTTCCACTTAGTCAATTACCCAATAATCTTTCCATTTTAAAACTTCGTAGTCATTCTGAAGATAACAAAATTTAGAGTATTAATCAGAAGCAGGAAATAATGCTTCTATGTTTGTAACTTGCTGGAATACTCTAAACACATCCAATGGGATGCATTCTTTTTGTTTGGAGAGTCAGTAAGGTGTACATATTATTGTGCGGCTTGAGGATTAAGAACTGTTACTTTGCTCCAAATTACACTTGCATAATCTTGGGTGACTTATTGGTAGCTTGCTGGCAGCTTGTTCAGGGCCATGTATATTAGTCAGGTTAGTTGACCAAATTGAATTATGGTAGGTTTACACAATTCTTATAATTTGTAAACCAAGTGGTAGGGTTTAAATCAGTGGTTCTCAACCTTCCTAATGCCGCGACCCTTTAATACAGTTCCTCATGTTGTGGTGACCCCCAACCAGGTGGGTTCTAAATTTTTTTACTACCGGTTCTGTGGGCGTGGCTTATTTTGTGGGCGTGGCTTGGAGGTCATGTGACTGAGTGGGCGTGGCTAGCTGGTCATGTGACTGAGTGGCCATGGCTATGTGTATAGGGACTACTCAGAGGGCTGAAAAAAGTCATTTCTGACAGGTCCTCGCACTTATGACTGGTCCTCACACTTATGACCATCCTCACATTTATGCCTGTGTAGCATTCTTAACAACCATGTCACTCATTTCACAACTGCTTCTCTTCAACATGGTATAAGATAGGGCAAAAAACGTAAAATGTGAGGACAGTTGTAAGTTCGAGGACTGGTCAAAAGTGCGAGGACCAGTCAAAAATAACTTTTTCAGCCCTCTGAGTAATCCATATGCATAAAAGGATACAGCAATAGAGAGGGATGAAGGAAGGGAAGGGAAATTAGAGTAGGAGTGAGGGTAAGAAAGGGAGGAAGAGAGGAGGAGAAAGAAAGAAAGAGGAAGTAGGGAGAAGAAGAGGTGGGGAAGAGAAAGTAAGAAGGAAAGAAAAGACAGGTGGTAGGTTTGAGGAGAAAGATTGCTGTACAATAAAAAAGATGAAAGGGAAGAAAGCCAACCCCAAACAAATATAAAAATATTAAGATAAAGAATGAATTGTTAAACTTTAAAGAATAAAAGAGAACAAATAGGAATAAATAGCAATAATTAGAAACACACATACAAACATACAACGTATTTTCTTTGAACAGAGTATTTGGCCGGTTCACAAATTTAAACAGTTGTAGGAGGTTAGCACCCACTCCTTTCCTAGAAGAATGAAATATTTTGGGAAATATTAAAAAGGCAGAATATTATATTTCCCTGGATGAGAAATGGAGAAGCATATTTTACAGACAAAGCAGCTCCCACCTTCCTGCCCCCCACCCTTTGTTAATGGGCCAGAGGTAGAAAGTCAATCCTTTGTCAAAGGACATTTGCAACACAATAGCAACAGAAACTAACGCAATGGGCCCCATCAAGCCATGTGATCCTGTCCACCATTAAACCATCTTTCCAAGCAGTCTCCATGTTTCCAGTGTCTTTTTCCCCACTTGGAGCAGAACCCAGAAGGATATTTCTTCCAACACAGTATTTAGTCATTTCAATTAAATTTACAATTTCTATATTTCCTTTTTACCATATTTATTCCTCATCTATTTTTTTAAAAAAACCAATATTACCCTTCATCCTCATCTCTAATCTTAAATTCAATTTTTCCCTTCTATTCTATATTATACCCCTTCGCATTGTCATCTATTTTTATATCCCTCCTCACATTGGTTAATCATGTAATACAGTTGTTTAATACAAATTCAACATTTTAATATAAATCAATTAGTTATATAACTACCTTTTTTGTATATTAATCAATATGAACATGAATATTCCAATTATTTCCATGCAATCCAATTTCTTACAAATCAATTAATTATATTTACCAATAATAATAAACCAAATAATTTCCCCCATATATTCCTCCAAACCACAACTTAACCATTTCTGCTTTCAACACAATATACAGTTAATAGTATCTCAATTATTACAATTCCCTAGTTAAATAGAGCTTTTTTTCTTTTGTGTTTTAAAATCTTGAACCTCCTCTTGCACTAAATTTCCCATTGTTTGCAGTTTTGCACCTACCTTTTTTGGTGAGGAAAAAGAAAAAGAAATCTCTCTGCCTCATTTTGTCACGTTGCAGCAAAGACCCTGCTTCCTTACTTTCAATTTCACTTTTCAGCATAGCTAGGGGGAAAAAATTTGCTCCAGGAATTTACCTCTTTGCAGCTAGCTCTTTGAAGCCCCGCGGCAAGAGTTTAAAGTTTTTTTCCCCTCTAGCCATCAGCTGGGACTCCGGAGACACAATAGATTGGGAGTGGGCGGGGTAAGAGAACGGGCGACCGGGCGATCCAACAGAGGCAGAGGGTGAGTGAAGGCGTGGGGGAGGGGGCGAGAGAGGGATTTGGCGACCCCTGTGAAATGGCCATTCGACCCCCAAAGGGGTCGCGACCCCCAGGTTGAGAACCGCTGGTTTAAATATTGCGTTGAGACAAAACAAAAGGCATAACGGGGGTTTTCTGGTCCCTCATGCAAATACAGGCAGTCCTCATTTAACAACCACTTGTTCAGTGACTATTCAAAGCTAATGATGTGCTAAACGAGTGGGATTTACAACCCAAGCTCATAGTTGCAGCCATTCCAGTGTCATGATCCTGTGATTATGATTCAGGCATTTGGCAACTGACTTTGCAATTAATGATATTAATTGCACATGATCACCATATTTAACCTTCACTGCCAGCTTCCAACAAGCAAAGTCAAAAGAGGAAGCTGGAAGGAGTTCACAAATGGTAATCATGTAACTCGGAGACACTGTCACTAAATGGAATTCACCTAATAGCAACTGGACGGCTGGAATGGTTATCATAAGTCTGTGGTAATGTGACATCCTGCTTTATGACCATCCGACTTAGCAGGGAAGTTCCTGGTTCCAGGTACTGTTGGTAAATGTCCTCACTTGTTTGCACTAAGTCCACCCTGCCTTAGTTTTTCGAGATCAGTCAGTGTTAACTTAAGAGTTCTGATTTCTCCAGCTGGATTTTAACTGCTTTTCAGTTCTTTTGGCACTTGTTCACTCAAGCCTGTGATGTGATGTTATCCCTGTCTGAAAATTCAGCCGTGAGGGAAAATTAATATCAGCTGAGGCTATCCACCAGGGAGTGGTCTTCTGTAGCAATTGCTTTGCAAATGATTAAATGACTTTTCGAGATAGTTACAACTTAAACGCAGGAATTGTATTTTTTTCCCCTTTAGAACAATGTCAGCGTTTGATGGTAAGAAAAGCAGCCCAACCCACCTCTGAAACATTTCCTGGAAGCAGAGTTCCATGTAAGCCTGCTGGGAATGGGACAGACAAGATTACATCTGGATGTGAGTAGCACTTTGACATGGACTGGGTTTCAAAGACTCATTACACTAAATTGTGGTTGACTAGCTTGAGGACCTGTGTCTTGTATGAATTCAGACAATTGAATAATCCAGTTCATGGGGGTTAGCATGAATATGGCAATAATGTCATTTGATTATACATTGCCAGTCATTGAAATAAAGGAAGACGTTTATGCTTAGGGTCCTTCTATTCTACCTAACCCAGTGAAAATGTGGAGTTAAATTCGGTACGGAAGATTGCAGTGGGGGATTTCAACCTGCCATCTATCGGTGAAACGTCTGAGGTGGCTCGAGAGTTCATGGCTTCCATGACAGCCATGGACCTTACTCAGTTAATTCATGACCCCACTCACACAGGTGGACACACTCTGGACTTAGTTTTTGTCTCTGGTCAGTGGTTGAGTGGCCTTGATATAGGGGATATAGCCATCGAACCCTTGTCATGGTCTGGCCACTCGCTCCTTCGACTGGACTTTCTAACCGCTGCAGCCCGCCGCAGGGAGGCGGGACCGACCAGGTGGTTCCGCCCCAGGCGCCTGATGGACCCTGATAGGTTCCAGATGGAGCTTGGGCCATTTCCTGAGACTCTGGCTCATGACTCGGCTGAAGACCTGATGGCCGCCTGGGATAGTGCGGCCTCCGGGGCTTTGGACCGTGTCGTGCCTTTGTGGCCTCTGACCCGGCACCGAACTCACCTAGCTCCTTGGTTCTCCGAGGAGCTGAGGGAGATGAAGCGCCAGAAAAGACGCCTGGAGAGTAGTTGGAGGACCAGCCGCTCCGAATCCGACCGAACACTGGTGAGGTCTCATATTAAGACCTACCTAGTGGCGATAAAAGCGGCGAAATCTAGCTATTTTGCCGCTCTTATCCCGTCATCAGATAATCGCCCGGCTGCCCTGTTTAGGGTGACCCACTCCCTCCTCATCTGGAAGTGCAGGATGACCCTTGCAGGGCCGAGCTGAGGATTTTGTGCAGTATCTGTATGACAAAATCGCTCAGATTCGGGAAGGGCTGGCCTCTGACTGGGTATGTCCAGACGGGATGACTGAGGCAGGTCTTGAGAGTGTTATCTGGGAGGAGTTCGATCCTGTGGCTCCCGAGGACATGGACAGGGTCCTGGGACGGCTGAACGCGACCACATGTTTATTGGACCCGTGTCCCTCCTGGTTGGTACTGGCTTCCCGGGAGGTGACACGAGGCTGGCTCCAGAAGATTGTTAACGCTTCTTTGAGTGAGGGGGTCCTGCCGGATGCTTTGAAAGAAGCGGTTGTGAGGCCCCTCCTCAAGAAGCCCTCTCTGGATCCGGCTGTTTTGGCTAACTATCGTCCAGTCTCCAACCTTCACTTCGTTGCGAAGGTTGTTGAGAGTGTGGTAGCGCAGCAGCTCCCCCAGTACCTGGATGAAGCTGTCTATCTAGACCCGCTCCAGTCCGGCTTCCGGCCTGGGCACAGCATGGAAACGGCATTGGTCGCGTTGGTGGATGATCTCTGGAGGGCTCGGGATAGGGGTTGCTCCTCTATCCTGGTCCTGTTAGACCTCTCAGCGGCTTTTGATACCATCCACCATGGTATCATGTTGCACCGGTTGGAGGGGGTGGGGGTGGGGGGCACCGTTTTGCGGTGGTTCTCCTCCTACCTCCCTGACCGGTCGCAATCTGTGTTGACGGGGGCAGTGGTTGACCCCGAGGCACCTTGCTTGTGGGGTGCCACAAGGGTCGGTCCTCTCGCCCCTTCTGTTCAACATTTATGTAAAGCCGCTGGGTGAGATCATCCGTGGCTTCGGGGTGGAGTTCCATCAGTACGCTGATGACACCCAGCTGTACATCGCCACCCCAACAATGCCCTTGAAGTGATGTCCCAGTGCCTGGAGGCCGTGCGGGCCTGAATGGGGAGAAACAGGCTCCGACTCAACCCCTCCAAGACCGAGTGGCTGTGGCTTCCGGCGTCCTGATATAGCCAGCTGACGCCATCGCTGGCTATTGGGGGCGAATCACTCGCCCCCACAGAGAGGGCTCGTAACTTGGGCGTCCTCCTGGACGCACGGCTGTCTTTAGAAGATCATTTGACGGCCGTGGCCGGGGAGGCTTTTTATCAGGTTCGTCTGATACGCCTGTTACGCCCCTTTCTAGATCGGGACTCCCTACGCACAGGCACTCAGTCAAATAATCAAGGTCAAAATTCGTGCTGCCAGTCCTGTGCTTCCCCATGCGCATGTACAGGCAAGCATAGCTGTAATACAAGAGGAGTACACATACATACCCAGAGGAAGTATTTGGGCAGCCATTTGACTCAGAGGGAGACACTTACCCCAGTCTGGGGCCAGTGCAACATGATGACAATCTGCCAGTACTTGAGTCCTCCAGAGAAAAGGAGCTTAAACGAAACAGACAAAGATGCTGCAATGCACCAGTCAGGCACAGACAATGATAATGATCCAGATTTTGAACTGAGTATGTCTGGTGAGCCTCATCTCATAGCACAGTCAGAATTAAATGATCTGGTCAGAGAACGTAGATTTGTCAAAACCAAAGTGGGCATTTTCCATGTCTTCCCTACTTTCCAAAATGATGGGAAAAGAAGGCATGGCCACTCTCTCCCCCCCCCCCCCCAAATCAAAAAGTCATTTCCTCAAGCTTCATATGGAACGTTAAAAAAAGTGGGTGTGTAGAATTCTGCTTCCCTGCATACGTATGTGCCTAAATGTATACATTTTCCCAGCAAATATTGTGAAAATGAATTCCATGTTTGATACACATATCTTGCAAGGACCATAATTGTTTTTGTTGCATTGTCTGTAGGTGTTTTAAATGCCACGGCATTTAAAATCTGTGGAGGGAGCAGAAGGTTCGAGCTACTAAACATCGGCCTCAAAACCTTAGTGACTTGGAGAGGTTCTACAAAGAGGAGTGGGACAAAATCCCTCCTGAGATCCGGAGAACTACAAGACACATCTGACCTCTGATTGCTCACAAGGGTTCTGCTACCAAGTACTAAGTCATGTTTTGCGAAGGGGTGAAATACTTATTTCACTCATTAAAATGCAAGTCAATTTATAACTTTTGAAATGTGTTTTTTTTTTTTTTTGATTTTTTTTGTTCTGTCTCACTGTTAAAACAAGCCTACCATTAAAATTACAGACTGATCATTTCTTTGTCAGTGAACAAACATACAAAATCAGCAGGGGATCAGATACTTTTTTTCCCTCACTGTATGTGCATACATACACATACACAATGTATGTGTATACATTTTCAAAGCAAATGTGTAAGCAAATTGCATGTTTGATGCACATATCGTGCAAGAACCATAATTGCTTTTGTTGCGTTATCTGTAGGTGTTTTAAATGCCACGGCATTTTTCAAGACAAAACTAAAGGTTATGCCTTCAGCAAATACAATGTAGGTTCTTAATTTGTGATTCTGAGGTTTGGGGATCCTCTGGAGATGAGCATTCGGGGTCTGCAAGATCACACGAAAGGGAAACTCCAGTACTAACTAACTCTGTTCCCAAACTGCTGGCTATCAAGATTTTATCAGCAGCACTTGCCTTGGTTTTATATTCCAGGGTGTCAGCCTCACTTTGCATTTGTATAGTTAGCAAGGGGTAGCTTGGTAGTGTTACAGAGCATCCAGCCACATTGAGTTGGTAACGTGTTCTCATGTCAAAGAGTGGGTGATCCAGTGAAATTCATGTGTTAATAGTATTTTTTCCCCTTAATTTCTTATAGCTTAAGTATAAATTGCCCATTTAAAGAAACAGAAAGGTGAATGTGATTTTGGAACGGATAACACCAGGCGTACCTGGAAGGCAAAATTGCGAAACTGTCTCTCACTTATTTTGGCCAGGTCATCCAGGGGAATTCACTGGAGACAGTAGTTATGTTTGGAAGAATTAGAAGTAAAAGGAAATCAGGCCGCCAAAGAACACTGGCTAGATACCGTTAAGGCTGACAGCAAGCAGAGCAGGATTGGATGATGTGGAGAGAGGCCTGGCTCATAGAATCACCAAGGATCTGACACGATTGAATGGATAACAATATCACCAACAGTTCTATAAGGTTTTAGTATGTTTATTAAACATACTGCCCTGTGGAACGAACTGCCCCCGGAAATACGCAAGATCTCCGACCTCCGTGTGTTTTGCTGTGCCCTTAAGACCTTGCTGTTCCGCCAGGCAGGGCTATCTATGTAAATGATTTTAAATTGGGTTTTAAATTCAGGTCAAAATTGTTTAATACTTTTAACTATTTTTATTTATTTATTTATTAGATTTGTATACCGCCCTACTCCCGAAGGACTCAGGGCGGTGAACAGGCACAAAATAAAATATTTTAAATATTTTAAAACTGTTGGTTGTAACTTGTGTTTTTAATTGGCTGTACACTGCCCCGAGCCCTTCGGGAGAAGGGCAGTATATAAATTAAATTATAAATAAATAAATAAAAAGGATTGGGGGAAGGTTTTAATAAAATGTTATATGTACATTTTTTTAATGGGTATAATCAGAATACAGCAGGATACATTTCAGCAATATTTGTTGGTTTTGAAAATGGCTGAATCCTTTTCTCTGTTAAAGAATGTTTCAAGTCTTTAAGCTGGCTGGAGACCATTAAAAGATTACACAAGATCTCTCGTCCTGTAGTTTGTTACCAGTCCGGTCCATCAAGGAAGCCCTCAAGCTTTACTATCGCTCTGCCACTTCATGTTCTCAGATAACTAGGATTCAAGAGATGTGCTACCCCTGATCTGGAGATGAGGTAGCCAAGTGAATTAGTGTCACATCCCATTGTTCAGTGTTTTACATAATTAATTGTAGGCGATGGCCATTATTTCAATAATTGCTTTATTCAATGCTTGCCATCCGTGTTACATAATCAGCAGAAAGAGTCTGGACACTTTCATAATGGAATTCTGGAGCATACTGGGCATTAGCCATGTTGAGCCTTCCATAAAACAACGCCCCTGGATATGTGTGCTATTCTACCTAAGCTTTCTGCAAGTTGAATATCTTTGTATTGCAGACTGGAGGGGGCAATGGGTTGTTACATGTGCAAACCAAGGTTGGAACCAGTAATTTCCTCGCTGAACTCTCAGTCTCTAAACAATGCCTGAGGGTCTTCAGGCCAAGCTTATCATGAGAACTCTTGTGTTTGTGATAATGAGGACAGTGGTTGTGGTATTCTGTGCTGGCTTGAAAATGCTCCCTTTATTGCACACTTCCTTTTATCTTAGTAGTAGGACTCACAGAAAATAGCTAATGGGCAGGACTGAACGCCTTTTCTGAGTAGGGTATGCTCATTCATTTTACAATAATGAGCGGAAAGCACACGTTTTTCTCCTCTTTTCCTTCCCTTCTTCAGCTAGGCCTTCTTTTTGATTTAATTTATTCAGTCAGAAGGACAGAATTTTCTACTCTTCTCTCCCACCTTCCACCCCATGAAAAGAAACAAAAGCACAAAGATCATTCAACATTTATGCAATTATACAAAGTGGGAAAACGTTTCAGGTTACATCTATTCCCCTTATGTGCTTGCAACCCTCTCACTAGCCATTACTTTTCAGCAGAACAAAGACATGATTCTGATCTTCTCGTTGCTATTTACACTTATCATACAAACACCAGTGTGAGGTGTTCGCAAGGTTACTTGTGTCAACATCATCCCATTTGCTTCTTGGAACCTAGTGGTTGTTTAATTAGCTTGACAGGAAATTTTGGCCCATGTGGACCGCAGTTAGTTACTCTTCCCCTCTCATTAGGTACATTCCCCCCCTCCCCGTTAACTGCAATGTTTTCTCGCTCATTTAATATGACTACATTTCTAGATGAAGTTGTGCGCCCTATGAAACAAAGCATGCACCCTGTAGAAGGGCAGAGGGATGACATAGCTCAGATTGCATAATGCACCTGGGTAGCGCTAGATTTTTTTTCCCCTTCTCCATTTTTTTTTAAAAAACCTATTCAGTGACCCATGTTTCTCACCACAAATTCTGTTATGGCATCTGGGCTGATGCTTCCAAAACGTTTCCAAAAGTAGCAATTGAATTTTTATTTTTTAACCTGAGAGCAGGTGAATATGATTATATAGTAAATGGTAAAACAAGTAAATTTCAATAATTGTTAATAAAATTTTTATAATTTTATTTTAAATTATATTGCTCTGCCCATTTTGGGGGATTCCATTCCCACTTAGTTTGGATGAGATCAACTCCAGTTTGTTATTCACAGGCCTTGAAGCTTCATCCTAGGAAAAAAAAGTTTTACCTTCCTGATAAAAAAATATTGTTGGCTTTGACCCTATGCCAGCCTTTTAAACAAATATAATCACACATGTGAAAATGACTTGAGTTTTGATTAAATCAATAAGTGGGTTGAAGTAAGACAGATCATTATGAAATCAAAGTTTCAAACTTGATATAAAGACAGCATGTTTTAATAGTCCTTCTAATTTTTTAGAGATGTTATTTAAAATACCATGGAGAAGAGAAAGACTGGGAAAGCAGTAAAGGAAAGCATCATAAAGAACTGAAGATCCCACTAATGTCAGTTTGCAATTTGAATGTGTTTTATAGCCTCTTGTTCCTTAATGTGAAGCCTTGAAATTCCTAAGTTTAAAAGTTTGGAATTCAGAATCTGCAGCCAGTTCTATGCACAATTGGGGGGGGGGGATGGTCTCCGCATCCTGAAATTGTGTGGTGCTACATTGCAGGGACAGGGTCAATTTTGAATAATCTACATGCAATAACGAGGAAATTATATAGCAGAAGGGTTTTAAGACTTTGTGGTTGTTTCATGTCTCAATGCAGCTGTAAAAGCAGGCAGGCAATCAATTTTGACCAAATGGGACCCTAATGCTAGCAGCAAACACCGAAGCAAACAAAAACAAACCGAGTTCTCCATTTGCTTCCAAAAGAGAGGAGATGCAATGGAGTGGCACATGTCTAGCTATTGACCCACCTATAGTACAAATGATAGGAATCCTTTAACAAATTCTAGAATTCTTGGACTGTAACAACTGGATTCAGAACAATGAGAACAAATGAAGGATTGATTACAGAAGTTATATCACAATGGTTGGCAATTTGCAATCCCAGCCTCCCAATCCACCCTTATGCAACCTTGGGTCTCCAAATTGAGATTGTGTGAAATCAGCAACAGTATTAACTACCGTTTCATGGCAAGGAACACTTAAGGCAAAATACAAAATCCTAACTGCTGTCAAAAATTTAGTGAAGAAAACATAAATCCTAGTTTCGCTAGAACATGCTTAATTCTCATGAAGTGACTTAAGTGCATTGTAAGCAGGAGTCCACAACTCAGGCTGTTGGGAACCGGGCTGTACAAGTGGAAGGGGAGCATATGAAACTTCATTTTAACATGGGCAGGATTACGTTATGTGTGCAAAACCATTTCTGCTGGTGGTCCGGAGAACCGCTGCATTATACTATTCTAGATCTGAGCTAGTTGACCCAGCCAATTGACCTTATCAGTCCTGATCTTCTGGAAACGTAATTCCATCCAGTCAGTCAGCTCCTTTCTATTGTCATCTCCCTTCTTTGAGGGTTTCCATTAGGCTTTCAAAGATTTTCATCTGAGATGGAGTCCCGGTCTGGTCTTATTTTCACCCCTATGGGTGCAAGAATTGGAAACAAATAAGAGCGATACTTAAACTTGTGTTGTAATGGGAAGTAGGAGTAATACTGAGGAATAGGAGAAAGCCACAGCCAAGGCCAGTCAGATAAATGAAATCTTGAGTTTAGGGTAATTTGAGAAAGCATTTCAGATATCTCTGGTTCTCATTGAAGAAAATGGGGGAGGGGAGGCACATCCAGACTTGCAAGATTCTATTATCTTATAATACTGTAATAGTAATATGGGCATTCCTAACATGGATCAGCTGAAGGGCTGATAGGTGCCAACCTCCAAAGGGAGGAAAAATTAAAGACCAGAAAAGTGAGAAGCTTCCAACTTCTTTTACAATATCTGGTAGGGCTAGTTATAATGGCCAATGGAAACCTCTCATGCTGCCATTTAACAAGGGGAGTAGGTTGTTTGGAACAAAGGATAACTGTAACAAGCTATATTGTGAGAACAATCATGTGCCACAGTCCCACATGTTTTGCTTTAATACTCTGCCTCCTGATCCTTTAGCCTCTTGTTCATCCCTCGTTTTTTTCTTCCTAATGTTTTTCCACAAGTGCAGTGTCTATTTTTTATTTTTCCAGATCATTGAGTGTTGATCCATCGATTATGACAGGAATTGATTGACCAGTTTGTTGCCCAAGTCTTGGTATTGTTGGTTGAGAGTGACTGGCCCAAAGTCACCCAGCTGGTTTTCATGATTAAGGTGGAACTAGAACTTGCAGCCTTCTGGTTTTAGCCTGGTGCCTTAATCACTAGATTAAACTGGGTGTTTTTATTTTTTCATTGGGATATTTTGCTTTTTGATATTCCAGATGTGTCAAAACATGTGTTCTCTAGCTCTTAAAGAAAACTGAATCATTTGAATAACAGTGACACTCTCAAATTTATTGCTACTTCATATATAAATACATTTAATAAGAACACTTGGTTAGGTTTGCATCTGCAAGTATCCCTTTTCCCAAGCCACAATTCGTCTTTAGAGAAATCCAGGCTACTGAAACATTTATAGAAGTATTGCCCACAAATTTCTTAGCACAGATTGATTTTGAACGTTGTAGTCTTCAAGTCTTACCACATCCAGTTAGAAGGCTGATCTCTCCCACTGTGGAGGTGGAAGAATTACTCAGTACTATTGCAGCTGATTGTGAAAACAGAAGGGGGCCAATATTTGTACACCTCAAAGGATCCCTGAGTTCAAGTTTGTGATGGATGAGAGATCTATATAGTCCAAGACAGACTGGCGAAGATGTCCCTTCTTAGTAGAAACAACTATTGGAATAGTATTCACTTTATTAGAACACATTAACCTTCAATAAAGCCATTTTCTCTGGATGCAGGCCATGCAGAGTTTGTGAATAGGAGCCCTGTTCTGATGGTTGTGGCTTTCTGCATTTAAGACTGTAAAATGATAGTTGTAAGCAAAGTCCTGTAGTCCTCAGCACCGATTAGCTGGATGTGTCCTAAAGGGGGGACAGTGGAGTGACGCCCAAATCTGCATAATGTACGCAAGCATAGGAGAATGCTTGCCTACAATAAATAAAATAAAACTGTATTTGAGATTCTCCTGTACAGCAGTAATGTTGCTGCATCTCCTGGCTGCACCGTTGTTAACAGCAGATGGGTCTGTCTGTACCAAATCCAATGGGAATGATTCCCAGAGTCCTTGACTGTCCAATATGTTTGGAGTGTGCTGCTGATCAGTTTCATTTCTGGACACACACACAAAAAAAGGGCTCCTCTTCATGAGAAGAGCTCTCATACAAAGAGTCAAGGGAAGATGCACCCTTCCCCCCCCCCTTCTCCCCCGAATATTCATCGCTGATAGAGCTTTATGACGCCAACTCGATGTAAGCTCTTCCATAGCTCGGCTTCTAGTAACATATCATGATTGGCATAGAACACCAAGGGCTTTTTCTCCTGCTCGTAGTAATGATCCGAAAACAACTTGTAATTCTCCGTGATGAATCCATAGGCACTGACCTAAC